AGAATTAATAATTTCTTAATTCGTGACTGCTTAGAAAGCAAAGATTTTGAAAATTGTCTTTTACTGTATTGTTTGTATGTTTGAATTTCGCACGTATATATAATAGTGCTAAAGCCTTCTGCATTGCCAAAAGATAGTTTCTCCCTAGTAACAATGTCAATACAGCCTAAGCTTGTAAACACTGCAAAAAACAAACTGAGGGGAATGCAGACAGATTTCCCATTACAGACCACAAGAGTCCCAAAATATTTCAAAAAGCCAAAGTAAACAAATGGATCCAATGGGGAGAAAAAAAAATAATTAATTCTAGCCACTTGTTTCTACATCTTAGCTTAATAAATACTGAGGATGCTTGCTGAAGGATCCAGAAAGGTAGTACTGTCCTACTGTCAGACACAACAAAATAAGGAACAGTCTTCAGTAGAGTCTAGTATTTCCTGTCTGGCTTTCTGTTGCTTTTGCACATTTTCCTGCCATTTCAATGCATGTAACAACAGAATTCAAACTGTCTACAAAGAAAGTAATCTGGTTTGTATTAAATTACAGCACTTATTTTGAGTCTGGGCTAAATTAGGAGTACGTGTCATTAATGCTCACAAAAGCCCTCTTTCTGGAACTCCTGTTATTTTGCACAATAGTCATGATTGTACGACTTTGTTCCCCTCCAAGTTACACAGTACTGTGATAGAACCAATTCTATTTTCTCTCTGTGAAGAAGAAAAATCATGACATGCATCATCTGTGGATGAGAAACCCCCTGAGCAGTCAGGCCTGCCTCCATCTGCTTGGAATTTAAGAACAGTCTATGCCTGCTCCTGTATGTTCAAAATTGTCTACTTCCTCCTTAGTGTCTAACAGTCATGTCAAGATTAGTGGGCCAAAATATTTGGTTTTCAGTTACCTTCAGAGACATTTTCCCCATTTGGAAAACAGGACACATGCAAATTCTGTTTGTGTATGTGCGCACACAGGCGTGTGCAAACACTAATATTAGCACTTACACATACATACTTAGTACAGAGTTGTGCTGTTCCACAGCCAAAAACTGCTCTATATTTTCCAATCAACGTTAATGCTCAGGAACTCTTAAGAAAGTTTGTTATACAAAAGTTCTATAAAATTGCATTTGACCTCTGAATTGAGGAAGGGATTATAGTGAGTCCAGAACATGTAAAACTGTTCTGCCGGGTATATACAGAGTCACTCCTAAATATTCTTCTACAAATGTTACTTTCTAAACAAAACATCATAGAGTTTCAAACCGTGCCATTATATAGAAGTCATTTTGTCCTGTAAGAGAAGTAGTAAATCATCTTTTTCACACCTTTCCCCAGCAGTTTGTGATAATAAAATATGAGTGATTCAAACCCTAACACTTACAGGCACCAACAGGTTAATTATTTAACAGTTCTTGGACTGTTGATATTTCCAGCCTGTGGAACCAGCGCAGACCTAGGGAGTTCTGTTACAGAAAACAGATTATTAAATAATGAAATACAGCCTTTCAAAAGCCTCTGAGATGTTTACCTTTAGGAATAAGACCAGCATTAAGAGATTTCTAATAAAATATTGAATGAATTAAGGGACTTCTTTTCTCTGTATGCAGAGGTTACATTTAAATCCCTTCGCTATGTAGCAGCCTTAGGCAACACAACCCGACTTCATGTCCTGTTGCCTTTAAAACATGAAGAAGTCAGGTTTTTCCACATGAAAGGCAGGCAGGACTCTTCCTTCTACTCTGTTCTTGTTCTGTAAGCTCCCTAAGTGACTAGGGCTGTAGTGATTGAACTGAAAACCCCAGAAAAACTTTGCCTGACTTTCAGTGGATTTTAAGCATATCTGAGTTTATTTTCTGACACTGAAGCTATAGCAAAGCCTACTTTTGTTTGTGAAGCTCATAACATTGTCAGTTTTATGCCACGTCAAGCTGGACAAAAGCAAAAGGCCCTGGCCACCAGAGAGCACAAAAAAAGATTAAAGACCAGGGGACTTTTTTTTTTTTTTTTTTTTTTTTTTTTTAAAGACAGCATTGATTGCTACTCTGAGTCTTTAAAAGTTCTCTTCAAGAAATGAAGAGAAAAATAACAGAAATTTTTGCAGGCATGCTCCTATAATATTCCCTCTTCAAATGATGCTTTCCAGAGATCTTTTTAATAATAAGAAACTCTACCATCTAGGCTTTATAAAACAACAGCATCACAAAGGGCAATAGTTTCTTCATCACAGCCATCTTAAATATCAGACTCTAGGGTATGCATCTTTTAGTGTCACAGCTTCAACCAAATACCTGATTCTCTCCCTGATTCACTCTCACCAAATACTGGCAGCCAGCTCCTGTCACTGCACCTTTTCCCAACAGACAAGAAAGTATTTGGCTGGTATGACTGTGTGATAAGGCCTTCAAGAGTATATGTACACTTCCAGGTGCATGCTGTCAAACACCAACTCTGCTCTCCCTGCCTCCTCCCTGGGTCCTGAAAAGCAAGCTAAGTTTGGCTGGGAAGCTGGTAAGTGCCTGAGTGATAATGATTGTGATAGCAGTGGGTGACACCACTGGAATCTTCTGTGATGCTGACACAAAATACTATGCCTCACAATAATGCAACTACTGCAGTATTTGAAAGAAAATATTAAGTGCAAAAGGGTTTTGGTATCTGCAGACAAGTATGCAGCTTTTCCTTCTCCTCACATGTCTCCCATCAGAGAGAATTTCAGCTGACTGTGAAGCGTTGGAAAGCGACTTGTGTTCTCTACAGAAGGACTCTGCTGCAGAGATTACATGAAATGTCACTGGGACACAGAGTCCCACTCCATTTCATCTTCTCCCATAGTGTCAGATCCTACACCAGCAAAACATACAGGCTTCAGGAGGAGAAAGCAGCTTCCCTGAGAACTCAGTGTAATGTATAAACTGCTCACAATAATTTTCTCTTCTCTTAAGTTACTCAGAGAGCAGAAAACATAGCAAAAGGATGACTGACTATCAAAGGCAAAACAGACTGCTTAGTGTAACAACTTGAACAGTTTCACATCCGGCAACTTGTAAAGAAATAAACTCCATGCTCTCAAGCCTGACAGTTACACACTACTCTGAGGAAGTAGGGAGTTATTTCACTCCTAGGTATTTTACTTGGCTAGCAAAGACATTCTGCAGCACTAGTTGTTCTCATTCAAGGGCTTAGATTGGCCTGACCCATACAGTTTTGTTATAAGGCCTGATACAACAAATTCCATAGTTAAGGATTCAGGTATGGGATTTTGATCTGGTCCTACTCTTCTGTAGAGTCAAAAATAAAAGAGTTTTTAATTATTTCTGGCATGGACCATGAAGTGCTTAAACACAGCTTAAAAGAGTTTTACAAACCAAAACAGGGCTTAATACCTCTCCCCTGTGGTGATTCCATCTACCATTGTTCACACATTCTTAGTCTGTCTGCATGCTGCAACTGGATGCAACTCCCATTGCTCCTAACAAGGCTAAATTGAATTTGACACTGACTGAATATTAACTTAAAATGGCTACCCAAGAGACAGTGTTATTTTCCTTAAAGGTTTATAGCACATACAAAAAAAGTTAAGACAAAGAACTCACTACATTCTTTTAAAGGAATCTCAGTCTTGGCTAGCACTTAGAGGATAATTCCACTCATCCTAGCTAATCCTCATCTGTGATAGAGAATCATATCCAAAGGACTGAATGCTTCACTGTGATTAAAAGACAGATAATTAGGAAAACGTCAAGGGAATTTCATGTGATGATATCTTTGTTTTCATCTGAACAAAGGAAAGCCAAGAAGACTGTAAGAAAAAAATTCAGTACCACTAGAGCCTAGATGTACATACAACAAGTCTTTAAAATCCAAGACTTGTCAGACCAGTCAACTTGCATTTCTGTGGACATTTTGTCACTGGTCTTTTTTTGAATCTCTAGTCTATTGTTTTCCCTGTAAGAAGTCATTCCCAACACTTGTTCCCAGTGTCAGAACATACAGTTGCTATTCCCATGACATATTCACTCTCAGAGTTTGTCTGCATACTCATCACCTCAGCTGGGGAGAAGATTGTTTGGCATGGGATGTGCTACTTACACAAGGGTTGTTAATTCTTATTGTCTACAGAACTCTTGATCTTTGTCTTAGTCTTTTAAACAAACTTTTTTTTTTTCTTTCAAAAAAGGAAAAGGAAAAGTGGGTTGCAACATCAATTTGCTTTTTTGATGGCTAACAACGAAGTAACTGACAGACAACACTCAGTCCTACCCCTACATGCCTGTGCAAATGAAGCAGAGATCAATGAAACACTCCTCAATTCTGTTTCCAAGAGCTGCAAAAGTTGCAGTCATCATGGCTGGAGAGTGCAAAGGCTGTTTCACAATCAGTGTAATTTCTTATTCAACTGTTTTCAAAGAAGACATTGTCTTTTCTGAATCTTAGATAATGCTAAGATACCTAAATACATTTATCTGGAAAAAGTGACGCGACATGGATAACTCCTTTGGACTATGCATGCTATTAGTTTTTCAGATACATTCTTTGATGCACTGAACAGAATTAAGCCAGTCTCAAAAGAAAAGGGGACAGAACAAAAATTGGCTGAATTTTCCTTGCAGCTTACTACAGATAGGCATTGAAGTAAAGTTTTACTGGAAGGTCTGTTTAAACTAAATAAACTAAATTGAAACTGTTAACTCTTCATAGTTATAAACATGAGTAAAAGAGTACTCTCATAGACCAAATTCAATATAACTGTAATCATTTGTGTTTTCTGAGGATTCAGTCCAATCATTTCCAGAAGGTCACAGGATACATCTCGGTATAAACACATAGCCTTCGCTGTCATCAGATCAGCAAACTTTCATCTAACACAGGAGGGTGCAGAATGTAGTGGGCCACCAAGGTACATCAAAACATTACTTTCTTTCCCAGCATACCAGCATACTAGGTCCATATTGTAATTATCAGAGATGAATCCACAAAGATAAAGCATAACAGAAACCTCACCTAATTATGTAGAAAACACAATTTGTCCATTCATTTGCGGTACCTGGAAAAAGAGTTTTGATTTAGAAAATAGTAATTGATTTTCTGAAAGCGTAGATGGTATTAATATATTTTGCCATCATTATATCCCCATTTCAGTTGCTCACGCACAACCTTTTAGTTGGTCAGCTTTTTTGATGAAAAGGCATGATTTCCCTCTTTTCTTTTCTATGCAACTCCTATATCTTAAATACTGGTATGTCTTCTGTAATTAATTTAAAATGCAAGAGGCACTATGCCATACTTCACAGCATTTATCTCCAGGAACTGCATAAGCAAAGAGAATAAATATACAACTTTATTTTCATTAATAATCTAGGCAGATATTTCTCATATGTCAGAATCACAATTATGTGCAGTGAACTTTTGAACAAGCTTCAGTGGATCCAGATATGTCTGATAGCTGGCTGAGACAGTCTAGTCCTCTTCAGTATTTATTTCGGACTATAATTGATTGGTTGAAGTTTTTGTCAAATGTTTTCAGAGCTCAGTCTTTATCAATACAAATTAAATTTGTCTAACGCATACAAGTGGTAACATGACAGATTTTCAGGACTTTGTCCAGTCAACTTTTGAATATCTCCAAGGATGGAGTTCCCACAACCTCCTTCCCAGAGGGGCAACCTCTGCCAGTGCTCAAACAAACCCACAGGAAAAAGTTTCCTGATGCTTAGAGGGAACCTCTTCTGTTCCAGTTTGTGTGCATTGCTTCTTGTTCTGTCACTGGGCCAAAAAAGAGCCCGGATCTGTTTTTATCAGCCTTTGAGTATTTATAGACACTGATGAGAGACCTCCTGAGCCTCCTCTTCTCCAGGCTGACCAGTCCCAACTCTCCCAAACTCTACCCTGAGATGTAGATATAGGAGATAGGATAGGTGTGCCAGTCTCTTCGCCGTCTTGCCCCTATTTTGGATTGTCTGTAGCAATGCCCATGTCTCTTTTGTACTGGGGAGCTCAGGACTGGACACAGCAATCTGGGTGGATCCACTCCAGTGCTCAGTTGAGGGAAAGCATCATCTCTCTTGTCCAGAATCATTTGAGTTGGAAGTGACCTTTAAAGGTGATCTAGTCCAATCCCCCTGAACGAACCACAATATTTACCGCAAGATAAGGCTGCTCAGAACCCCGTCCAGCCTGACCTGCAGTGTCTCCCGGGTCTGGGCATCCATCATCTCTGAGCAGCCTGTTCCAGTGCTTCCCTACCCTCACTGTAAAAAACTTTTTCCTTATACCCTAAATCTCCCCTCTTCTAGTTTGAAACCATCTCCCTTTGTCCTACCACAATAGACCCCGCAAAAGACTCCACACCCTTCTTTCTTTCTTACAGTCCCTGCTTAGATACAGAAAGGCCATTCCAAGGTCTCCCCAGAATCTTCTCTTTTCCAGGCTGAACAGCCCCAGCTCTCTCAATCTGTCCTCGCAGGGAAGGTGTTCCATCCCTTGGATCATTATTGTGGCCCTCCTTTGGACCCACTCTAATAGATCTAACACCTTCCAATCAAATCAATAAATACTATGCACCAAATAAATCAGGCAGAAAAATGTAGAAAAAACATAACTTTACTGGCAAAATGTGCATTGCTTTCCTCTTCGTAATACAAGCTTGGGCTTCAGTTTTTTTGCTGACAACTTACATAGCCTACTTTGATTACAACTGATACCAGATGTAGAGCCAGAATGCAACACCAACGACAATCCATATAAAGTCTACTTAGGGACCAAGCTCTTGCACAAATGGTTAACATTCTATATCCGCTTAAGTGGCACAGCTTTGGGCAGCTACTATGCAGAGAGTTCTTTTGTACTTAAGGTAAAATTTCCTTGAGCTACCCAGGGGCTGAGATGGCACTGCTCTAGGCTGAATTCAGGCTCTAAATAATATGCCTAAATAATATACGCATTAAAACTTCATTAATGTTTAATTTATTTTAAAAAGTTAATACCTTGAAACATTTCTTTTCCATTTTCATAATAGTTTTAATAACAGTCACCTTTAACATAGTACCTTTCCAATTTTTTAATGTATAAAAAGATGGTACAAAGTAGTCAGCTTGTTTCTTTTAAATAAATGAATTTCCGTCCCTTCTAACTGATTTTTAAGCTGTTCTTATTTTTAAATAGCACAGGGCTTTTTGTTCACTCATTTTCTATTCAAGTTTTTAGGAAGTATTAGGTAAAATAATTGTAGATTTCTTAGCAGACATTTGTTCCATAAATAAGACTTGCCCCCTGCTGTTCATTTTGTTTTATTAGCTAGAAATAATTGCTCTCAGACTTTTATGGGTCATTATGTTTATACGCTCTTAAGACCTCCCCTTGGCGTGACTTACAAAGAGCAAGGAATTAGCCCCTGCACAGGCTGCCATGTGGCTGGTCAAATCTATAGAGAAGTCATGTAGTGATGAAGAGCACACTAATCAAAGATGATAGCAAAATTCAACAGTCCTATATTATAAGGACAGCTGATCAATTCATGCTGAGTTTCAGGCAGAGTGGGTTCTCCTGCTTTTATCACAGAAAGTAAACAGACTTGATTACAAATATAAATGCAAATGTTCGGGGACTGCTTTCAAAAAAGTTTAAATCAGGTGAGATTTTGTTCAAGTCAAAGCTGACAACCTGGTATATCGGAAGGAAAACCCACTAGGAAATTATCTGCAGGCAATGAACAAGACAATCAACTCTTATTCCTGTTTCCCGCAAGCATGAAGAAATTTTCATTTTCCTAGCCTTACAGAAATTAGTTGTTAACACGCTAAAACACTAAAAAGCTAGTAAAAGCTACAAAGAAGTTTCTTGAGTACTTGAGAGTAATCTATAGCACTCCGACCTCTGTATTTGCTCCAGTTAAACTATTTAGAATTGAACCAAGTCCAAGCAAAGGCAAAGGCAAAATACCACAGGACATTAATTACCAGAGAATAAAACATAAAATGATTCCATGAACTCACTGAAGTGTTCCTACAACAGAATAAACTGTTCCAACTGCTCTTTGAGTTGCCCAGCTGTCCCAGTTTTATTTATTTTTACTTCCGCATAACTTTAGTTCTGGAAGGAAGGACGACGGGAAGAGAAGAAAGTGGTAACTTGTTGTTCACTTGCTGTAACCAGACTATCAAACATCTCAGTCTTTATTCCGTTATTTTCCTCCCCAGAAGGAAAATGGATAGTTGTTCCCACAGAAAGCAAGCTCTGACCGCATAACCATCTCACCCTGAAGATACCCTCAGAAGCAGTTTGGGATCAGCTGGAAGCCTCAAATTCAGGCTGACCACAGAAATTCACAAAAACCACATCAGCCCTCCTTTTGTTACCTTTCTAAGCAGATTTTCCAACTTTAGGGGTTCTCTGTCATCAGGGATACACAGAACTTCATTTGTGTGAGATCCTCAGCCTAGATTACTGGCAGTGTTTAACTACTTTGCCTTTGGTTTTTTTTTTTTTTTTTTTTTTTTTTTTTGACCTCCATTGTTTTCCTGACAGAAAATGCAGGCTTTTAAAAAGCACTGAGAGATTTAGACGATAATCAATGTAGAGAGGGACACATGATGTACATATATTGCTTACATACTAGTAAAAACCAATATAAATATTGAAAATGTTTCAAAAACTATAAAAGAATAGAAGTTATTTCCGATCATTCAATACTGTTTGATTTCCTATTGCATATAGGTTCTAAATGCAACCACACGTATCATTTTGTTACTATACATTATAAATCTCTATGAATCTTTTTCCCAGACTGATGGACTTAAAGCCAGTAATGCCGCCAAGAAAAACATTTCACATCCACTGCAGTAAACAAGAGCTTGACAAATGTAGAACTAAGTCATTTACCAGATGTTACTATTTGTCTTAAAAATCTGTCTTTGACTTGTTCTTATTTTCTCTTGACCTTGTAGGCTTCTCCCATACATACTTAATGCAAAAAAACAAATGCAAAACCTTTGAAAGCCAGTTGTTATCCAGCTAAAAAGTTCTTTTAGACCTAATACTTACACCTTCTTAGTGTGTCAACAAGACTGCTCATAGTTTAAACACCAGGAAGGAATTGATGTATCATGTTTCTGCCTTTTCTGAAGCAACGCCACATAGTTTAATACTTCAAGCTTTTGCAAGATGCTTCCAGGTACTGAATAAATAAACCAAATAAAACCTCAACTAAGAAATGCAGCTAAATTACCTCATTCACAATCACAGATAAAGGAAGATTAGATGATCCGTGTTTACATAAAAAATAATACACTCTTGCTGTTATTAGTGAAAGAGGCTGGAACAACACATTTAAATGAATGTAGGCATTGCCATTCCAGACTTTTAAAACCACATTCTCTCCATCTAGATAAACAGGACACTGCTGGTGGTCACAAAGCTATAAAGCATTCAAAAAGCGTATGGTTGCTTCCTATTTGTTCACATACATATAAACATTCAACACAAATTCCTATTGCATCAGCTAAACCTGGCTGTCGTATGTAGATCACAGTTTCTGTAATTGTTTCAGTGAATTAAGATGTTTTATCCATACCATCATAGATGGAACTAACACATACCCCCACTGAAGATATTTAGCTTCCAGAACCACTGAAAAATTTCTAAAAGATTTAAAGTTAGGGTTCAGACATCAGATGTATTTTCTTCTCTTGTTTATTCCATGTTAAGCAAGTCATAATAAGCACTTTTTTTTTTTTTTTTTTTTTTTTTTTTACACCATTACTTCAAGTTCGCCTGGGAGCTGCTTTCGCCGGTTGTGCTTTAGCAACTCCATGAAAAACATGAGATTTAGCTATGTACAGCTTGCACTTTTTCCATTATTACACCACTTTATTTCTCCCAAACATCTGCAGTGAATATTCTATAATATAGGAGAACTGAAACAGAAAGCAGGAAGCACCTGGACTCCAGCTATATATATGCAACATTATTAAAAGAACAACCTTTCCTTTCACAGCAAGTGATCCAAAGTTGTGTTTTGAGGTGGATAGTGGGAAATCTAGCTGAAGA